CAGAGTGGGGCAGTGACAGTTGGTTTCCCTGAGATCTTAGCAAAGTAGGCCCGATGGGATCTCCAACTCAAGTGATGCACGCACCAGGAGCAGAATGAAGCAGATTTCAAAGAAGTCTCAAGCTGTAGCGACATGATCCACAGGTTGCCTCAGCCCACAGGTAGTGCAGCACATGGTTGAGGCAAAGATCTAGCTCAAGCAGCAGAACACTGGTCCAATCACCAAGGAAGAAGAGAGAAGAAATTCCCAGAATCCTCATGAGAAGGTCACGCCCACAAGGAGGTGTCATCAGGTTGTGACCTGATTCCACAAGCAAGACACCACCCCTTCACCCTTAATATCCTCAAGTTGACTCATGATGTGTAATTTCCACAAAACCCTACAAAGCCTTTAATTGAATAACAGTTGCTTTCTGGAATTATGGATAGCAGACTGTAAAATGACCTTACTAATTGTATTTTCAAGCATATCTCAACCTCATGATGTCATTTTTCTATGTCCATTTTTCATAAATACTTTGAATGATATTTTTAAAATTATGAAATATGAAAATTTATCCCATGATAGAATTTTTCAAGACCAAGAATTTCTTCATCACAAGTACATTTTCTCAACAACACAAAATCCAACTGCGGACGTGGACATCTCCATAAAGGACATCTCCATAAAGAATTTACTCTATCAAATTGAGTAAATCTATGAGAAGAGACCCTGGAGACGATAATATTGGTGCTAAAAATAGATCAGTGTCTGGTTGTGGAACTGGCCTTCCATAACTCAGATGTGAGTTCAGATTGAAGTTGAAGAAAATTTCAAAAAGACCATGAACACCAAAATATGACCTTGAGTATATTCTACCTGAATATCAAGAACAGGTTAGGCAAATTAGATATTAATGACAGAGATATGATGTGCTGTGGGGTAACATCAAAAATATCATACACGAAGAAAGAAAAAGGTCAATTGAAAAACAGGTCAAAGTGGATGTCAGAAGAGACCCTGAAACTTGTTCTTAATCATACAGTAGCTAAGGAACATGGAAGAAATGATGAAGTCAAAGAGCTTAAGAGGAAATTTCAAAGAGTACCTCCATAAAAATGAGGTAAAATATTATAATGAAATGTACAAAGATCTAGGGTAGAAAAACAAAAAGGAGAAAACTTTCACTATATCTTAAGGTAAAAATACTCAAAAAAAAATGCGCCTTAAGTTGAAATATTCAGAGTTTATGGAAAAATCTTGAATGATGCCAGAAGCATCCAAGGAATACGTAAAGAATACAGTCACTCTATCAAAAATAATTTGATATTCAGCCTTTCAAGTGGTAGCATATAAGCAAGAAACAGTTAATGAAGGAAGAAGTCCAACCTGCACAAATTGAGCTGGTTCAACAAACTGATGGAGAATTGGATGCACTCAACTCTCTATACCAAAACTTTGAAGACAGAGACTTGGCCAAATTATTGGAAGAGATCATTATTTGTACCTATTCCAAAGAAAGGTGACCCAAGAGAATGGTCAAATTAAAGAATAACATCATTGATATTACATGAAAGAAAAAATGTTGTACATAATTCAACATTTCCATCATACAGAAGATGATGTGGAACTAAAGATATTATTGCTGACACCAGATGAATCCTAGTTAAATGGAGAAAATATTAAAAATATGTTTACTTTGTTTATTTGTATTTTTGACTATACAAAGATATAACTGTATGGATATATATAAATATATCCTTGAGAAGAATGGGAATTCCAGAATACAAATCAAGAAACGGTTACATCCTCATACAATACATATACAATCTGTATAATGAGCAAATAATCATAGACACTGAATGATATTAAGAAGAATGCAGCATCAGGATTTGGAGGAATGTTTATTAACAACCTGCAATGTGCCAATGACACAATCTTGTTTGGTGAAAGTAGGATTTGAATCACTTGCTGATGAAGATCAAAGATTTCAGCCTTCAGTGTGAATTACAACTCTATGTAAATAAAACAAAAATTTTCTTAAGTGGACTTATAGGTAACATCATGACAAATGAACAAAAGATTGAAGTCGTATGGAATTTCACTTTGCTTTGATCCACAATTAATGATCATGAAAGCAGCAGTCAAGAGATCAAGTTATGCATGGCATTAGCCAGATCTTCTGCACAAGACCTTATTTAAAGTATTGAAAAGCAAGAAATTTACTTTGAGGATTCAGGTAATACCTGATCCCAACCATGATATCTTCAATCACATCATATACATATGAAAGTTAAACATGAAATGAGGAAAACTGAAGAAGAAAGGGTGCATTTGAAAGTACCGCATATTGCCAAAAGTCTAGCAAGAATTATCGTAACAGGCAAGGATGGAAAGACTTCATCTCGTGTTCTTTGGGCACATTGTCAGAAAACTCCAGTCCCTAGACCATCATGCTTGATAAAGCAGAGGGAGAGCCGAATAGAAGGCCCTTGGAGAGATGGACTGACACAGTGGCTGAAACAAGGGTCTGGAACGGAAGAGTAGCTATGAGGATGGTACAAGACTCGCAGTGTTCTGTTCTCTTCTCCCCAGAGGCTCTCTCAGTTGGAATCAACTTGTTGGCAACTAATAGCAACAAAAACATCTACATAGGTCTCTATTTGAAGTTATGGGATGAATGATTTACTAAAAGAACTGAGAACAGAACATTAAGAAACAAGACAATACATTAATTTACAAATGTACCATACAGTCTCTTGAATGCAATATGGTCAACAATAAAATATTATATGGCATTTATGTGGCATCATTAACTGTATCTGCTCCACTTAAAGTCTTCTGTGACTGTAAAGAACAATTTGAGTGAAAGCCTCAGTCAAGAATAGAAAGGGTTAAGAAATAATAACAAATTGATTAAAGCAGAAATATACTTTGATTAAACACTCTTTCAATTTTTTCAACAAAAGGAATAAGATTTGTAGCAAATAACAGAAAGCAATATTATTCCACCAAGTAAGACATAACAATTTGACACCTCTTAGAAAAGAGAACATTTAAAAATCAATTCCACTGCGTTTTAGAAATCTGGAACTAAACACAGCCATAATATTTAAAAAGAAGACTAAATCAAGTATTTTCTTATTTTTTAAAAAAAAACCCTAATTATTGTTGTAATTAAGTTTATGAAAAGTAATTACATATTTTTCAATTTGCAATATCAATCTTAATGTTGCAATTAAATATTTATTTCCTAAAATATAACTGTTACTGCAATGATTGATTATATTTTGTTTCTTTAATTTCAATAGATTATAATCTCAAATTATCAGCATTGTTATTATTAAAGGCCTGTCAAGGTCCTTTTATTTGCTTCTCAGAGAGGGAGACCATTACCCTTTTAAAAAACTTTATGTTGTATTGACGTATAGTCATATAGTTCACATACTGTGCAATTCAATGAATTAAATGTATTTAAGAGTTGTGCAAATATCACCATTTTCACACTGAGAATCTTTTTGGCATTCTGCACTAATTATTATTTATTGGCTCCCCAATTTTCTCCAAAGTCCCCTACCATGGCCTTTTCGGATTTGTCACAACACAATCCTCTATGATATATGCAGCAACCTGATAAAGCCTTCAGGTGAGAGAATTCATTACTTTTTACAATTTGATTGCATCCATCAACCTGGGCTTTTAAAAAGCAAGAAGAAAATTATTGATTCGTAGTTTGAAAGGATTTATTTTGTACAGTTATCAGTTCTCTGATAATTCATGTTTAGATTTAAAGAAATCGCAATCATAGGGTGTATGTGTATATGTGTGTGTATGGTGTGTGGTGTGTTTTTAAGGAGCCCTTGTGTAGCTGTCAGCCAAGAACTAGATTGTTACCTTGCAAGGTCAGTGGTTCAAACCCACTAGCTGCTCCATAAAAGTAAGTTGAGCCTATCTGCTCCCATACAGAATTACAACTTCAAAAGCTTTATATGTATATAAAGGGTTGCTGAGTTAGAAACAAATTAATAGTAGTTGCGGTTTGGGGTCTTAGTTGTACATGTGTATGTGCGCGTGCGTGCGTGCGTGCGTGTGTGTGTGTGTGTGTGTGTGTGTAGGAGTTTCAAGATAATTTAAAGAATAGGTACAAAACTCATGAAAAGGGGTAACAAAGTGATACTTTGTAAGCAGCTTAAAATATCAGCTTATTAGAACTGTTACAGAGTGATCATAACGATATAGTCTGTTATTGGTGAAATGCTAAAGAAAGCGAACAATTAATGGGATAATGAGCACAGAAGCAGAACCACTTATACACAGTAATTTGATAAGTGACAAAAAATAATTATTGTATAGTGAAGAAAGGACAATTGCCCCATTTCCTACATGCAATATTAATAACACTATATGAAAAATAAAACATAATCCGGACTTTTCTACCTCTGTTGCATTGTAAATTTATATTTTACTGGTGACATTACCATTTCAGTGGAGAATATAGAGCAGTACAGTCAAGAAAGATAATAGTAAAATGGATAGACTACTTGTAAAGTGACTGTAATAAAACATTGTACTTAAATGATGAAAATCAGAATAACTGCTCAATTTTATTAGTTCACAGGTAAACATTAATTTAAATCACAGTGGATTCCACTACATATTCAACAGATTAGTTACAATAAAGTATGAAAATTAATGTGTTACCAATAATCTGTCTGGTTCTACCCAAATTCTGAAGTGATGGTAGAAGATGTTAAACTTGACATAATTACTTGGATAAAAAATGCAGCAGTATCTTTAAACAAATGTGAACATGGACATACTGTTCTTTCCAGAAAATCCACACTTAAATTCAAAGACAGCTACTAGTAAGTGCTTAATTAAACAATTAAAATGTCAAACTAACTTTGAGAACAGTTTGTCCAGTAGCCATATAATGAAACTCTACCCTGTCTGGACACCAAGCACTGAACCTTGTCTCTGGCACTGTTTCCCCTGATGTGATGCAGATTCCCGGTACTCACAGGTATGCAGCCTTGCCCTCTTCGAGTTCTTTACTTTTGCCACTGGAGCCACTTTTCTTCCCACACATCCTCCTGGTGATACACATCAGTAAGCCACATTGTCGAATAAAGAAGCAGCTGACATCTGTTACCACAAGGATTAGCAATAGCGCTGCAACGCCCAAGCCAATGACTGCTCCAAGGCCAAGGCCATTAAAAAGTGTATCTTAAAAACATAAAAGAAAACAACTTTATTAAATCAATTAACACGCAATGAGAAAGGATATTACATTAGAAAATTATTTTTAAAATTGAATTTTATACAAGAAAAAAAGTTCAACTCAAGAGGTAGAGGAAAATGTCTCACTGATAGTCTTCAATTTTATGATTTGTGGGTCTTTTTGCTTGGGTTTTCAAACAGTATTTTAACAACTGACATGTTAACAATGATTTGAGATATTTTTTACAAACTTTCTTTTAAAAATAAAAAAGCCCAAATTATTCTTCTTTCAAATATTTATTTGATTCCCTATGGGAAAGATAATAAAGTATTATCTTATTTCTAACTGTACTCTATCAGAAAGTCACAGCCATTAATATATTATCACAGTTAAAAGTAAATTTCATTCAAAAATCCCTTAAGACAGGTGTTAAATAAATGTACTATAAGAAATTATTTTGGTTTCAAGACTTTAACTTGCAAATGGATTTATGCAAACTCTTTGCTTTGACAGGAAATACATTTTAAAATACTTGCCTATAAATGTTTTTCAAAAGATCATTTCAGAATAAATGGTTTACTTGTATTTTTCCAGAGAAATAGTTTCAAAAATCTTATTAAAAAACAGGTACAATTTTCCAGTCCTGGTCTAAAAGCCTTTCGCAGGTTTTGTCTTAAGAATGCCGGGAAAGTCGGGCATCACTTTTGCTGGGCAGTATTGCAGGAGATGTCGATAAAGAAACAAATAACAAATATGCAGAAAAGGGCTGATAGGGAATAAGATAAAGTATGCTGATTGCAGACTACAAATGTCAAAAGGAACAAGAGGTAAATATCAAATGGTATATTTGTATAAATGAATACGAAGGTGAATTACCTAACCATAGAAATAGACATAGGAACATAAGCATGATAAAAGAAACTAGATTAAACTGGCCATGTTGTGGGGAAAGAAATAAAAACAAAACCCCAAAACTTCTAGAATATAATTATATTTGCATATTTTTGCACTGATATGGTTCTACACTATTTACTTATATTAAAACTTAGCTCTAATACATTTTAAATTATAATTATTCTTTTAATAAAATATTTAATTATTCAGCATAGTCATGGTCAGGGTGCGATGTAACAACAATGAAAAATACAACTTTCTCCTAGTTCCTAAATGTTTCCTCCCTGCTCCCACTATCATGATCCTTATAAGTCTGGCTAGACCAGAGGATGTACACTGGTACAGATAGGAACTGGAAATACAGGGAATCCAGGGCGGATGATCCCTACAGGACCAGTCGTGTGAGTGGTGATACTGGGAGGGTGGAGGGAGATTGGGTTGGAAAGAGGGAACCGATTACAAGGAACTATATGTGACCTCCGAAAAGTGGGTAAAGGGAGATGTCGGACAGGGAAAGATATGACAAAATAACAATTTATAAATTATCTAGGGCTCATGAGGGAGGAGGGAGCGGGGAGGGGGGGGGAAATGAGGACCTAATGTCGGGGGATTAAGTGGAGAGAAAATGTTTTGATAATGATGTCCAAATGCGCTTCACCCAATTGATGTGTGTATGGATTGTGATAAGAGTTGTATGAGCCCCTAATAAAATGATTTAAAAAAGAAAAAAAACACTAGTAGGTGCATATATCAACATAACAAAAATGTATGTACAAGTTTTTCTCATATTGTAGTAAACAAATTCATAATTTTTCATAATAATTGAGATAAATTCCTAAGAAGTCAAAATAACTCTTCTCATTTTAAATTTACCATTAACAAGTTGTTCTTGACTATATCATACCTAGATGAAGCCCTTATATAATTATTTCTTCCAATGACTGGATCTCATGTCTACATTTGATTTTTGGTTATTCCAGGAAATATAGGAGTTATAAGATAGAAATCAGGAAATAAAAGTCATGAGTCTAGAAATATGGAGTGCAAAAACTATATTTGAACATGGTGGCCTCTCTATTTTACAGACAAATTTACAGACAAATCAAATCTTCTGGGACATTTTGCAGTGTCTCCTGCATTGTGCTATTGAGAGTTCCTTAAGTAATGAACAAAGCTTGTAGTTCGCATAGTCAAGTATAATTTTGTTTGTAGTGTGCTGTATTCAATAGACAGGAGTAGATAATAAACACACAGGGCTGGAGGGAAATGATTTCAATGCCACTTCACAATTTGTTTTTCCATATAAAATTTTAATATTCTTATTAGATGATGATCATTTAGAAAAATTATTTAGGCAATAACTCAACTCAATTAACTGCCATACAGTTGATGACAACTCAAAACGATCCTATAAGACAGGTCAAACTACAACTTGGTTTGCCAGACTAATTCTTTTCTAGGGTAGGAAGCCTCATCTCTCTCTGTCATAGCCGGCTGATGGCCGTAAAGTGCTGAAATTGAGAGATGCAGCCCAATGTATAATCAGTACTCCACTAGGCACCCAATATTTAATCAATAAATAGAGAAATCACTGGTTTCTGATGCCCAGTTTTCCTGTCACGTAAACTTCTTTGAAAGATTGGAGAAAAGGGCGTATTTTTAATAGTTTTCAGTCATATAAAATTAGTACCTTTTTCTCCTCACAATCTCAATCAACAAATGAAGAATCAGATTTCAAATAAAATCAACCAATTTTTAAAGAGGCACACCAGATTAAAAAAAAACTAGCATTCTGTGTCATAAAATAGTACACCAAAAAGTGAGAATTTCTATCAGCAATTTAAAAAATATTATCTTCCACGATCCTTTTAAAAATGTTAATAGTTTTCATTGAATAAATAATTTCAATATATTTAAGGAAATTTACCTGTGAATCATCTTTGAGAATATATAATGTTAATACTTTTCTTCAAACGTTTAAGGCACTTATTTGTGATATGCTTCATAGACTCTATAATCAAGGCTCAGAAAAGACAAATAAAAAACAATCCCATACATACTAGGCTTTTGTTCTTGTACATTTAATTATTAGATTACCCAGTTTATTTGAATTGTTCACGACTTCCTTTGGGTTCTCCTGATAAACAGACATGGGATTTTTGTGAATTTTAAATGTGATTTTATGAGTAACACTAATAACACATATTACTCAGCCTATAATGCTAATTTAGCAAATATTGGCTGTTACTATCATAATTACTACTTTGATGATTTTTCCTATTATTATAGAACTCTATAGAGATGAGAACTTGGTCAATAAAAATCCAAGGACTATCAAAAGATAAAGTAGGCTCTAATCTTTTACCATCACCAATTTACTCAAGAAGAATATAGCTTACTAACCAGTGCTTAATCTATGGAGAATATAGTCTTTAACGATTAAATGACTTAAGTTTTGCTAGCTAGCTTTTAAATGTTAAGTGGTTTATCTGTGACATTTTAAACATTATCGGTATACTGATCTACATGATTTTCATGCTTTAGACAAATTTCTTAGAAAAATTATATTTGTAAAGTATAAAGTACAAAGTTTAAAAACAATAAGTATAAAGTATTATTGATAATAGAATAGCTGCTACTTATTTTCAAGAAAAACAATATTATACCATTTTCTAACATATTTAAAATTTTAGATTATTACAATTTATTTATGAAAGAGAATTATTTTTGTCATTACAGAGCATAAGTATAATTAATCCTCAAAGAAGGTTTAATTACAAATATTAAATTAAGTTGTCTTTTTGAAAGTTATAGCTCCTCATTTTAAAATTTTATTTTAGGACTTTAAAAAAAAGTTTTATAGAAAAAGTACCATGGAATTACAGAAGAACAAACAAGACTATTTTGGGAGAAGTCCAACCAGACTACTCCTAAGAAATTAGGGTGATGAGACTTAATGGAACGCGCTTTGGATATATGGGTAGGAGAGCCCAGTCCTGGAAAAGTAGATCATGATCGGGAAAGTAGAGCGTCCTCATTCATGAAGACGCTCAGTGACATGAATTGACAGAGGGATGGCAACTACAGGCACAACGTAACAATGGGGAGGATGGCACAGGGCTGACGAGATGACATCTAACAACAACAAAATCAAGAACTTTTCTGAAACCAGCAGCCATTTGTCATTTTGTTATGCAGCAGTGTTTTTTGTGTTGCTATGTATGTGTTGTGATGATGTGGGAAATTATTCCACAAATACTTGAAGTATCAGCTGAGCTATGTGGGGTGGGCAGGTTTCAGCTGAGTTCCAAACTAAAACGAGTTGAGGCAAGATGCCTAATGACATCCTTCTGGAAAACAAACAATGAAAACCTTTTGATCACAAAAGGCATTGCCTGGCTTGATTGTTTTGGACTTGTTATCAGGAGGAGTCAATCCCTAGAGCACAATGTGTGACAAAACGGAGGATCATGGAGTTCATGTGAAATGTAGGTGAGATAAATAGGCCAAGGATGGATTTGAACATGACATTCGTTGTGAAGATGAATCACATCTGAGCAACATTTCACACGATTTTGCATAAGGTCTTCTGAAACCATTGTCAATTCAAAGGCTCAATGCTATTGTCATGGAGTTAATTTCGATTGTTAATGACCCATTATAAGGTTTCTGGAGCTATACATCTTTACAGGAGCAAATTGTTCTCTCTTACAGTTGCTGGTGGTTTGCACCCTGACCTTGTGATAAGCCGTCCAATGCTTACCTGGCAGCACAAGCGGGGCACCTGGACTTGAAGACAGATACCCACAATAACAGCATTCATCATTTCCTGAGGCTAGCCATCACCTCACAGGAATTTTTTGGATAGAAATTACTTTTTCTTACATTTAGAAAAAATAAGTTAATAATGATTTGCTTATTATTCTAAATTGAAGCTGAGGATGGATAATTATTTAAGTCATTTCAAATTAATCTTTACTAAAATTTACAGAATACTTCAACATTTGTGTTATGATGTTAACTGGATAAGAAATTTATGACTCAGGAATATAATATAATCAGATGGTCTTTAGATGATACAACTTATGTCCAGAGAATTTAGTGAACTAAG